TAAATATATTTATTAATGATGTGAATCTACCTTAAATGCAAACTGAATCTAAAATAATCATATAGTTTTAGTTTGATTTATCATAAAATTGATTATTCAACATGATAATCACTGTGACGTTTATGTTGTTGGCGTTTGTCATGATTTCAGGTATTTATACAAATTAAATGAATAAAATAAATTTATATTTTATATATAATTAAAATAGTTAAATTAGATTATGGTGACATATACAGTATGTATACTAAACAATTAAACTATACATCTCAGTTACTCAGCAATAATCCTTTATAAAACAAAGCATGCTTATTTTAAGAGGGTTGAGCGTGGATATGTTATGTAGAGTTTATATTAGCTTATAGCATTAATCATCATAGGCTTAACACTGTCGATAGAATTGTTATTTAAATAATAGATAAATACAGAATTAATTATATTTTATTTAAAAACAAGGATCACACAGCGATGCTATACGTTAACCACTATTCGGGTGATGCATCAAAGATTTTAAAATTGAATTAGTTAAATTTATTATGTCAGATTCATTTAGTATCCGAACGATCCTATAAACCACATTATTCATATCAGAATAGTGGTTAAAAATATCTATTCTATCAAATCCTCTTTTGCTATTAAAAATAACAAAAAAATTCTATGTTTATATCAATTCATACACAACCATGATGATAATGTAGTTAATCCAATGTGCAAATGTTAATACACTAATATTTCAGATAGTAATTCACTGGCAAACCCTAGTGGTGATGATGATCACGGAAATGGTGGTGATGGTGATGATACCGAACAAAAAGATGAAAGTACCAGAAATCGTGGTAATAGTAATGAGGAGAGCGGCAGCGGTGAAGGCGGTAGCGGTAAATCTAGGTCTGAAAATAAGAATAATGAAAATGAGAATGAGAATGATGCCGGTGACGGTGGTGGTGGCCGTAGGGATGGCGACGATAGTGATGGCCGTAGAGATAGCGACGATAGTGGTGGCCGTAGAGATGGCGACGATAGTGGTGGCCTTAGGGATGGCGACGATAGTGGTGGCCGTAGGGATGGCGACGATAGTGGTGGTAGCAATAATAGTAATAAGGCTGTACTTGCTAGACTAGCTGCACAAGAAAGAGAAAATGATGCTAAATTAAAATCGAGACAAAATAGTAATAAGGAGAGAGGTAGGGGTGACGGCGGTAGCGGTAAATCTAGGTCTGGAAATAAGGATGATGATATAGTAAATGAGAAAGGTAACGGTGGCGATGATAGTGGGGGTGGCGGTGGTGGCGGTGGTGGTGGCGGTGGTGGTGGCGGTGGTCGTGGTGGTGGCCGTGACGGTGGCCGTGGGGGTGGCAGCAGTGGTGTTCGTAAGGATGACAGCGGTAAAAGCGTTTGGGGTAGCGATGATGGGGGCGGTGGTGGCCTTATGGATGAAAGCAGTAAAAGCGGTGGCGGTGGCGGCAATGGCCGTAGAGATGGCCGCGGTAGTGGCGGTAGCCGTAGGGGCGGTGGTGGTAGCGATAATAACACTGGTTCCAAAAGTGGCGACCGTAACGTTGGCGATAAAGTAAATAATAATAATAAAGTTACCAATGGTAATGGTGACGGCGATGGTGATAAAGGGCGCGATGTTGCAAAATTAACCTTTGATGAACAGATGGCTTATTATAAAAAAAAGGATGCTGACAAGAAGGCGAACATAGATATGAACGCTGAGAATGGTGCCGGTGCTGCAACGCTCGCTGCTCTCCCCCCGCCTGATGACGAAGGGTCTGATGCAGGAACCGATTTGAGCGGTAAAAGTGGCGGTGGCAAAGGTAATAAGGGTGGACAAAAGAAAGTGGGACAAGGTGGTAAAGGTAATAAGGGTGGACAAAAGAAAGTTGGACAAGGTGGTAAAAAACCAAGTAAACCGAAAGGTGGAAGTGCTGGTGTGAAAAAAGGTGGAAAGGCACAAAACAAAAATAAAAAATCTGGGAATGGCTAAAGTTGTAAACAAACGTTTAATAGCTTAAAGTAAACAAATAAATAGCATATTTTTAAATTATTATTATAAATGTTATTAAATAATTATAAAATAAAATTTTACTGTTTATACTTTACTACAAATTTAAGATAATAATTCTAAGTAAATAAAGCTTATTACTTAGGTACTTATTATTTACTTAATGCAATTACAAATATTTTTATTATATTTAAAATTGATTGAAGTATAACATTTATATATTGGTTAAAATAAAAAATACATAACCTAACCATGAAATCTTGTAGATAAAATTCTGACTTTTGTTTCACAATTTAAGTTGACATCTCTAGGCACCAGAATCCAAATTTCATCAAGATTGGATGAATGGTTTAAAAACAGGAATTTTTAAAAGATTGTCACTCGTTTTAATTCCCGTTATAATTGATGTCATGATATCTACACTAAACTGTTGTCTGATAACTAATAGTGAATCCCAATAACCGAATAATCACTTCAAATATATTTTAATAAAAATATTCTCACTTTAAAAATGAGATAATTTTTTGTCAAATATTTTTATGTAAATTTTTCAAAAACAATTCCGACTGACAAACTTTGAAAAATTTCTGTTTTAAAACTATTCATCCGATCTTGATGAAACCTGGATTCTGGTGCCTTGAGATGTCAATTTAAATTATGAAATTAGTTTTAGAATTCTATCTATACGGCTTAATGGTTAGGTCACGTATTTCTTATTTGAACTAATATTAATATTAATTTTAATAAATAAAAATTAATAATCTTATTATCATGTTTATATTTTTGTCGTATATAGTATTTAACAAGTTAGCATATTGGCACTAAAGAAATCTAAAAATTTTTATATTTATTGTTCAACCTTTTTAAACATTGGTTGAATTGATTGAGCTAAAAACGAATGATGGTTAAATTAACTAAAATTTTAATATTACAATAATTTGAATATTAGAGCTATTTAGTTTTTTCAAAAAAAAATTACAATTTTTGGAAACTGAATAATTACTAATTACAAATAAAATTTTATTTGATACCTGTATCAGGATTTTTCTATAACTGAGAAGAATCAGATTATACTCATATTTAAGATGTAAAAAACAATAATTTAAAACTGTGCCATTTCAAAAATACTTATTCAATTTTAATTATCAGTACATCAAAATAGTCATAATTTAAAATAGAAAAATATTAATTTTTAGTTTTAAAAATTTTAATTGTAAGCGATATTTTGAATATAATTTCTAATTTTATGTGTATAAATAAGTCTTAAATTTAGAAGATTGAAATTCAAAATAATTATATTATTATATTGTAGAAGTAATGTTAATGTGTAATCAAAATGTTATGTTTGAATGTGAAATGTTGTGCTTTTATAATTGAACACAATAATGTGTTTAAATTGAAATGTTTTCGTAATGATTTTTATATACAAATACTTGTCTATTGAATGCTGACAGCCATTGCAATAATGCTGTCATTACTGTATTGGCATCGATTCACTCCACTTTAAATGCTTTACTGTTTTTAATAAATGCAACTTTTTATATGTTAAAAATGTGTTAAAATTATTCTGTCCTTAAACTCTTGTCCACCGCTCGTCACCCGTGCCCGCACTCAACCTGCAGTAGGCCCCGTAAGTGCCTACAATATTATTAATTTGAACTATTGTGTCTTGATAGGCTATGAATCCTGATAGAGGTATCAAATTAAATTTTATTCTGTACAAATTGATATATAAAATGTAAAAATTAGTCCAGTACTTTTTGAGTTATAACTACTGTCCATAAAAAATACATTAGGTGCTAAGAGTTCCATGATCACCTAACTTTTATATAATACCCTGTTTATCGTATCTTTAATAATGAAAAAAATTATTATAATTATTTTAAAAAATTAATTGTTTAAAAGTATTGTGAATACTTTGCTAAAAATCTACATTAGATTTTGTATTAATATTGTATTAATTATTTATAATTAAGCGATTATTTGAAATATGGTGAAATATGCGTCGTTACCACAGACTATTGCTCTGGCATTGAGTGCATTAGGATGACCAACCGTCCCTGTTTGGCCGGGACAGTCCCGGTTTTGAGCATTTTGTCCTGTGTCCCGGCGTGGGTCAAACCGGGACAGGGACGGTCAAAGTCTCTAAATTTTAAACAATAATTTTTTAAGCATTTGCTAAGAAATATAAAAATATTAAAGCGTTTTTGGTTTAAAAGTGTTAATTTGTTTTAAAGCAAATATCCAATTAAAATATATTATAACTTGTTTTAAATACAGTTTATTTAATTATAATAAGCTAGAAAAATATGTCCCGGAAAATATCCCTGAAAATTATATAAAAGTCTTGGAATGTCCCGGAATTTATGTCAGATTTGTTTAAAATGTCCTTGTTTTGTAAATTTCGAGTTGGTCAGCCTAGAGTGCATACCAACTGACCCATTAGTTTTGGGCCAAATGCCTGCACGAAATCTAATTGAGAATGGTCGTCCAAATGCAATTACAGTAATATCTGGGTCAAATACTAGTAGCAATTATTTTTTTTAAATAAAAATGTATAATTTAATTTATATGTACTATCAATTACCTATACTGAACTTTAACATAACTAAGTTAAGGTAAAACATTAATTTCTCTTTCACCCCCCCCCTTCTCCCCTATTGTCAATAAGCTGTTTATTATAAGAGATTCATTTATTTTGCATAAAATTTGTATAAAAAATGTTAATATTATTGTTAATAAATTTTTGAGATTTAAGTAATTTTATTAATTTGAGCAGTTAACCGCCGATACCCCTGTAGATATCACATGAAATTTGACCAATCCTACATCTAACCTAGCATGATTTGTGATATGTAAAGTACCGTGCGCTATTCTGTTTATAATCGGCGATACAATTCCAAAACTGACCTAGATCATTGTCTAGACTCTAGAGTTTGTACGACATTTTTACATATGGTTGACAGCGATGTCACCGACAGTAACTGATCCCTAACTACGGCCACAATTTTTGGTGCCTCTTGTCCTCAATATCTACGCCAATCACTTCAACCACTAAACCCATACTCCGGGAGTCCATTAATATGTCATAAAAACTGACCTAAGTGAAAAAGTAAAATTATAATTAATACATGTACGATATATGAAACGGTTGGGATCATCCAGCTCTTAGGTCAAGTTTAAGAAAGATTAAGGTTTAAAAATCGTCCATAGAAAATAATGTTAAATTTATACATATCATGATCTCAGGTATTTTATGTTTTATAACATAACTTATACTCGAATTGTTGTGTAATATAATTAATATATACAATGCATGTGTGCAACAACACAATAAGTTGAATTCCCCAATATTTTTAATTGATCATTTATCTATTAATGTATTTACTACTTGCTACTTTAATATTTACAGTTTATGAATTATACTAGGTTTCTTACTGTATTAGTATTAAGAGTTTGCACTGTGACGGGTGCAACACTACTGGCCGTCACAATAGTATTCAATTGTTGTTTCAATCTCGCGATCTCTTGTTTAGCATTTCTATTCAATGCAAGCAATGCCTGAATGCAGTCGTGACCCGACTTTTGTTTGCAAAAACAATGTTTGCATTTAAACGTGTCGTACGGACAGCGGTCCGCGTGTTGTGCCAACCCATTCAACGACATCACTTCTGGGCACCCGTTGTCCGCGTAATCGCACCGTATGTTAAGCCGGCCCAACATGTTTTCAAACACTCTGGCAATATAATACAATATGAGATTTGATCAAGAACAATTATACAAAAGTTAGTAACTTACGCTTGTTAGTATACACTTGACTTAATGATTAATCATGATCAGGAGAGCTCAAGTAGGCTTAAAAGCTAGACTGGCAACACTAGCTTCCATAGAAAATACATTATAGCAATGCCCGCCAATGCCCAATTATGCCCACTCAGAGATCCCCTGATCATGATAGTTAAAAATAGTATATTAACTATTACTACTTTATAACTATTACTAATAACATATTTTATACCTAGGTGGCTCTAGTAGATCATTTTCCATGAGCACTGTTCTATCGCACAGACATATGTTTTGGCCAGTGTTGAGCCAATCGGTAATACAATCCCTACAGAATGTCTATCGACAGCATAGGGTGACCATCGGTTCACGGAATATGTTGAGACATATGCCACACGACAGCTCCTGTTTGTCCAATTGATTTATGTCCACAAACCTATTGCACTCATATCCTGGCTTTATTCTTGATTTTTACAATGTGTATATTTAAAATAATTAAACTTAATAGGTTTAATTCAATTGTAAAAATAACTGCATAATAATGAAATATACTTTTAAAATATTGTCAAATAAAAATAGTAAATTTACTCATATTGTGAATTTACATATTTTTTGTGTCAATTGTTGCTATGGTTAATGAAAAATAACAATAAATATGATGTAGCTGTATATCTCATTAATGTACATATGCTTTTGTTGTTTACGAGTTAGAATATTATATTGTTATAATGAAGGTTATTTATTTTCATCTATAATACTGTTTAGACACATGCCTATTAATACTATTTAATATATTGTACACTATACATTTAGCAATCATTATTTAATTGTAATGATAGATTTTAATTAAATTATCAGAATTTAAATGATAAAATACTAATAACTGTATTATTTGTTTTATATACGATATAACTAAAATAAACTTTACAATTATGAAATAAAATAGTTATAATTATAATGTAATAAAAATAATCAATACTAAATACAATGTAATGATTATACTGTTAATAAATGCTGACAATTATTACTGTCTATATAATAGAAAGATTTTAACAGACATTCAGTAAGGGATTTATATCCGGAGTTAGAGAGAGAGAGAGAGAGAGAGAGAGAGAATTTGTGACATAACCGACAAAATGTTTTAATAATATAAAAAAATTTTTAATTAGATTTTTTTTAGTTAACTGCATTCATCTAAAAAATATAAAATGTTAAAATTTCAATTAAGCAAACTCTGTCTAATATGTTTCTCAACGCACACAATAATGTGCAATAATACAGACTACTAAACATGATATGTAGTTTTTGCATAGATTTTATTATCAAATTAAAATTAAATTGTAACTTTTTTTGAATGATAAATATTCTCTATATGAGAGCCCTGTTTTTTGGCAACCAAACGGCACCGGTATTTCCATGAAATGAGTGCTCTCCTGATCCTGGTCAGCGATATATTGCGCCACTCCTGTTCCGTAACTTTCCAAAGCTCTTCAACTGTTGTAGGTTTGTGTTTCCAAAGGGCTTGTTTTAATAAACCAAATACACAAAAGTCCATCGGTGCAATATCTGGACTTTTTACTGGAATGTGTTGTTTCGGAATAAAATTTATTTTATATTTATTCGATAATTCGGTCAATGTTTGGACAGTTTTGACCGAAAAGTGAGAACTTGCTAAATCTTGATGAAACCAAACTAAATGATGGTCATCTTTGTGATATATGTTTGAAATTTGTTTAAAAATAGGTTTCAACACATTATTTGAATAATAATCTGAATTAATTTTAACATTTTTTTTGGACACGAATGAGTTTTAATTTGCCCGAATAAGACACGGCTGCAACAATCATAAAACCCTGTGGGTTACTTTCACACACTTTGACAAAATTTTTGTCATTTAGTTGACCTCTCTTTACATAATATATAGACCGCTGTCCGCCGGTATTTGACATGTAAATGTAGGACTCATCCAATGTGACCACAAATTTGTAGCGATTTTTGGCCAGATATCGCTCATAAAGTATCCGTGAAGTTGTCTTTCTTTGTCTCATATGGCGGTCATTAAGTGAATGGCATTTAGTTTTTTTGCGTACATTTTTGTTCAAATCTTTATTAATGATTTCCGATATAGAAAAAGAGCTGCAATTAAGGTCTCTGGCCATTGATCGGTGTGACGGCGGGTCCTCCTTCTCGGTTTGATTGTTCACATATTGAATGTTAGCTTCGGTGCGCACTCTTAATGGTAATCGTTTTCGGGTGAAACTGAAACACCGGCCGATTTTTTATGTTTTTTGAGCACTAAATTCAATACACGACTAACTGTTGATTGATTAACTTTTAATTTATATTTTTTCAACGTTTTAACAATCATTGGTTGGGTATAACCTTCACCGGAAAGTAATCTTATATAGTCGTCCCTTCCCGACGGGTTTAATTGAAGTTCAGACATGATTTTGGCTTAACATTGATATCTATCTTAAAGTCATGTAAACACTGTTTATTTTGATATATAAAACAATAGTCTCTGTTCACAAATAAAAAAGTTATTACAGTTTAAAATCTATGCAAAAACTACATATCATGTTTAGTATTATAGTGATAATTACAAAAATGATGGTGAAAATGATTATGGTTGCGATGAATTAGACGAGTTTTGTTATTGTGGTTCAATAGCCCGACCACCCGGGGTCGAGCTTAAAGTGAAACAGAGTCTCACAAACACCAATATTTTACATGTAAACCATTTTGACAAATATAATGAAAGCAATTTACAACATAACGAGCACTCGACCCGTGTCTGGTACGAGTGCTCCGATCCTAACAATCTATTGGTCGGCAATCGGGTCCGGGAGTGCCGGAGCGGCAAATGGATGGGCAGTGTTCCCCGATGTGGTAAATATATTATTTTAAAAAATTCATTTCATCACGATTATAACTTTTTTTTATTTATAAAAATTAGAATATAGTTAATTATACATACATTATAATATGAAATGTTTAATAATGATAATTATTAATCACTAATCATGTTGTATTATGCACATTAACTACATAATAGCAATTAACTACATGAGCAAAACGGAATTGTCCTACATCGCAATATTAGATAACATAACAAACAACGCGCTTACACCGGTGGAGCCTACCCACAAGCCTACGGGTGCTTTTACCGCAGCAATAGGCCGGCGACCCACCGACTGCTTACAGTGGCGCACAGGGGCTCAGCAACGCTGGATACTGGGTCTCAGCCAAGCCATAGACGTACACTATATACGACTCGTACTGTACGGCCAAAATCTACGAGATTTATGGCTGCGTCGGGCCATTGAATTCAATGTGTTTCATAACAATATGCGTGGCGTCGAGTGTACACTGAATAAGGACCCAATGGACAGTATGGCCAACACTACCAGCGATGATGCTTATAATATTGAATTTTTGTTATGATATGGTCAATATGCTTGACCTCTTATTATAGAAGTAATCTCAAAACTACCAAATTTTTGCCATTTTGTCCACAGTCTCGCTAATGGTCCATTTTAACCATAATATAGTCACGTGACCAAAAATATTTGTATGTAAAAAATATTTCCGGTCATGAAACTATATATGTGTGAAGTGACAATATTGTCACTTCAGCTGTTCCCACATGGTGATCAAAATCCAACATGCAAAAGTTTTGAAACAATCTTATTTATCTTAAATATTTAAAAATCATTAATTAACTAAAATCTACATGCAGCACAATAATTTTGATTACATATTCTTAAACAAGAGCAAAAATAACTTGATACCTATTTCAGAATTTTGTTAAAAAATAAGTTTGAATTTAACATTATGTCTATGGACAAAATGACAAAAATTTGGTAGTTT